TTTTTAAATAAAAAATACAAAATTAATGTCTTTATTTACACATTCTTATAACACTTATGTCCTAAACCTTTATTTTAGACCATCCATCGTTCCCAACATTTTTTTATGACCCGACTAATTAAAGAGACTCGAGCCTTCATTATTGTACGTAGTCCACATTCATACTTACCATTTAAATTTAAATCAATTTTAGAACATCTCCGATTACCCATTGACCTTTGTGTTAAGTTTGATGAAATGCTAACATTAAGTTGGACGTAACTAATTGCAGCCTATTAATGACTTAAATGATTTAATAATAATAATTTTTAATGAAAATAAAAAATTTTTAATTTAAATTATATAATATGTAAGTAGAATAGGATTAGGAGATAAGAAAAGATTGCTTTTAATTGTGTAACATTAAAAAAAAAAAAAACTAATTTCCAACTAACTTTTTGTTAAACTTATCATCTAGATCTAAATGACAATGATCAATAGGAATATTTTCAAAAGGTTAGGGATGGTTGATGGAATGAAATCAAGGTTAAGAACAAAAGTGTTTCATGTCAGAAGAGTTGGAGACTATTAATTGAATTTACCCTCATTATTATATTTATTAATTTTATAAATAAAGTTTATTAGTAACTTTTTACTAAGAGATAAGATAATTTGTCAACTACTCTAATTATTATCAATTGATTTAGATTTTACTTAAATTTTATGTTGAAGTCTATATAACTAATTTTTTTATGGTATCAAACTGCGTCAATTAAGGCTTGGCCGGTTGGCCCCTTTCTTCAAGCCCCTCTTCTTCTTCCTCTTTACATCTAGGCCTTGTCTTCAGCTCAGCTCTAACTAGTCCAGTGGGCGGGCATATGAAGTTCACGTGTCAAGCCTTCCCAGTTAAATTGGGGAATCCCACGTTACAAAATAAGAGAAGAATACAGGACTTAAATATGATATGGATTATTTTATCTATTACTAATTAATTTAAGGATGCACCTTATGCTATGATGAGTCCTAGATGAGAAAACAATTTCTTGTATCCTAGAACAGAATATAAATAGCCTTCATCTTCCTCGTCTAGAACATGAAAATTCATCAAATAAAGATGCTTTTTGTCATCTTTAAATTTGATTTTGTAAATTTACCAACTAACTATGTGCCACTCATAATAAAAATGCACTCATTATGTATATTTATCCTTCTCATAATATGCAAACTTTTTATTTTTGTTCCTAACTACATAAATTTTATTTTTTAAATAATTTCTAAATTATTATCTCAAATATTCAAGAACTTTCATTTACTTATTTTATCTCAAATCAAAATATCCTATCCTTTTAGAGTCAAATATTCTATCATATTTTTCACACCACTTGTCAAATGATTTAACTTATAAACACTTAGTGTGTGCATAGAAATTTCTTATAAGAATTTTTTTATCTTTTTTTTTTCTTCTGCTTCTTCTTCCTTTCTTTATTTTGGTTGGGTTCCCTGAAACTTTCTAAATTACCTTATATAATGAGCTTCTGCTAATGACTCCCAAACCAATTTATTTTAGGGCATTAGGTGAAAAAGATAGTCTTTAACCATCCATGGATTCATAATCTAAAAGTGCCAAGAAACGATCGTTTCCAGGCTTCTTTTTTTATTTAATGATCATTTCAGTTAATGTGTTATTTTTTGGGTGTCAATAGTTTAGTTTCCTGTTCAACATTTTGAGCATACATTATTTCTACAACCATTACCACCTCTAGCCAAAATGAAAAACGAAAAACTTAACACAACAGAGAGCATCAAGCCCACAATTAATGCAAGATATCACTTGTCAACATGTTTTAGCGTTCTTATCTTTGATCTTCATATACATCTGCATAAAGAAAACAACTGCAGGGCCAGCAAGAAAGAATGCAGAGAGAAACAATGGTGCCACGTCAGGACCAAATGTCAACCTCCTACCACAAAGAATCTCTATTACAGCCAAGAGGACAAATAGATAGCATTAGAGGTTATTACAATGGAACCCACAAGCGGATTAGAAAACATGAGCAAAAACCAATTACTTAAATGTTTTAAAATGAGAAAATAGATCTGTGAAATTATAAAAGATATGGGATTTGAACCCTCAATAACCACAGCCTGCCCAGGACCTAAGCTGATGATGAATAATGAGATGATTAATCAGCTACAGTTGCCGTTAATTACCATCGATAATGAACAAATAACTTGAAGAAAATTAAAGAAAAGACAGCTTTAAGAATACTGAATTGTATTCACTGTGTTATTTCCTTACAAGACATCAGTGTGTATATATATACATATACAAGTGTAAATTGATATTCTTCATCGTTGCTCAATCTCTTTATTGTGTGATCAATAGTTTTCTTCTTTTGATATCTTGTTTCCTTACTAAAAACATGGTCTACTTGCTATGTGATAGTCAAAACCAGTGACTATAAAAGAAAAGAAAAAGACATTGGGCATGTGTTTTACTGAAAGCATGACAAATATAATTAGTCTGCCATTGGTGGACTCCAACCAAAAGTCCCAAAGTAAGCAGAGTAAGATATGTGACACTGCAATGGTGCCAAGAAAAATAAAACAAGAACAAGTTTCACTTAACTAGAAGAACAATAATCATTCTAAAACTCTATTTTAAGCTGCCAACTAAAAGGCAAAACTTTTTATCAAGAAAATGAAATTGAAAGAAATTACTAAAACCCATGATCATAATCTCCATATAGAGATTGTATATACAATACAGACATAATCAAAAAGAAAGAGAAAGAACATGGGTTTATCAGAATTCACATTGCTTCCTTTCCAAACTTTATCCCTTTTATTCTGCGTCATTGCTCCACCTGAAGGAGATGAACCCAAGTTTCTTATTCCCATTCCTAACCCATAATGCAACCAAGGCGTCTCCTTTCCTCCTAATGTAAATTTACATTTAG